AGTGGGAGAATGGAGGTGTGTGTGGTTTTTGGTAATGAACTGGACAGTTCTTTGCTGTGTATGTAAGGCTAAGCAGCTCAAAGCCCCATATAGAGACGAAGCCATGGGCAAGATTTTCAACAGTGATTAGTTGTTTTGGGTTGGGTTTGAGGGTTTTTTGGTCCCCAGCATCTGAAAATGAGGGGCATGAAATCGCAAGGCACTTTTGAAATTCTCGGCCTTAGGTTCGTGATTGAATACAGAAGATTTCCGTGATAGCAAGGCATGCTGCAGAAATATACTCTACTTAAACAGGAGCAGGAAGAAAGTCAGTGGAAAGCTCTCTCTCGTTCTTTCTCCCTTTTTCTCCCTACCTCCCTTTTTTAGGGGAAATCTTCTTGTTGGGATATTTTTGTTTGTTCGTGGAATTTTTTTTTCCTGATTGGCTGATAAGCTGGCTTGTTATAAGTCTTCTGGGGCTGTTTTGGTTCGGTATTTAAAGAGGGAGCATGTCGGTAGATGGAGACATTGATGATGGGGTTTCACCCTGACTGTGGGGGGAAAGCGTTTTTGAAGAGGCAGGTTTTATTACTTTTTCTAAGTATGGTTAGGCTCTGGAGGCTCCGGTGTCCTTTAGGAGTTTGATCCATGACTGGCTCCTTTCAGCTGAGAATGCTCTGTCCCCGTGTCTTAGACACAGCATCATGGATTTCTGATCTGTTTAGTCCCAGAGAGCCACAACTGTCTTGACAGTTCACAGATAGAATCATAGAGGTGGAAGAGACCTCAGGAGGCCATCAAGTCCAGCCCCCTGCCCAAGGCAGGACCAATCCCAACTAAATCAACCCAGCCAGGGCTTTGTCAAGCTGAGACTTAAAAACCTCTAGGGATGGAGATTCCACCCCCCTGCCTACGTAACCCATTCCAGTGCTTCACTACCCTCCTAGTGAAATAGTTCTTCCTAATGTCCAACCTAGACCTCTCCCACTGTAACTTGAGACCATTGCTCCTTGTTCTGCCATCCATCACTACTGTGAACGGCCTCTCTCCATCCTTTTTAGAACCTCCCTTCAAGAAATTGAGGGCTGCTATCAAATCCCCCCTCAAAATGTAGGCCCTTGGGACTTATTCCTAGTTGTGTACTTTGAGAGGATGTAGCCCACAGTTGCAGCAATTTATTTTGGCGTAAGACTATTAAAAATTTCCAAAGGAGACATCATTATTAACACTATTAAAGCTCAGTTTAAACACACGTCCGTTACTTAATCAGACTTGTGGCTAACTTCAGACCCAATGCAAGCAGGTGCAGTTCTATTGATAACCGTGAAGTTGCATTTACTTATATCTTGCTTGATTTTGACTCATTAATCACCAAGAGAGTAGTTATTAATGGTTCACAATCCTGCTGGAAAGGTATAACAAGTGGGGTTCCGCAGGGGTCTGTTTTGGGACCGGCTCTCTTCAATATCTTCATCAACGATTTAGATACCGGCATAGAAAGTACGCTTATTAAGTTTGCAGATGATACCAAGCTGGGAGGGGTTGCAACTGCTCTGGAGGATAGGGTCATAATTCAAAATGATCTGGACAAATTGGAGAAATGGTCTGAGGTAAACAGGATGAAGTTTAATAAAGACAAATGCAAAGTGCTCCACTTAGGAAGGAACAATCAGTTTCACACACACAGAATGGGAAGCGACTGTCTAGGAAGGAGTATGGCAGAAAGGGATCTAGGGGTTATAGTGGACCACAAGCTGAATATGAGTCAGCAGTGTGATGCTGTAGCAAAAAAAGCAAACATGATTCTGGGATGCATTAACAGGTGTGTTGTAAGCAAGATATGAGAAGTCATTCTTCCGCTCTACTCTGCGCTAGTTAGGCCTCAGTTCTGGGCACCGCATTTCAAGAAAGATGTGGAGAAATTGGAGAGGGTCCAGAGAAGAACAACAAGAATGATTAAAGGTCTAGAGAACATGACCTATGAAGGAAGTCTGAAAGAATTGGGTTTGTTTAGTTTAGAAAAGAGAAGATTGAGGGGGGACATGATAGCAGTTTTCAGGTATCTAAAAACGTATCATGAGGAAGAGGGAGAAATCTTGTTCATCTTGGCCTCTGAGGATAGAACAAGAAGCAATGGGCTTAAACTGCAGCAAGGGAGGTTTAGGTTGGACATTAGGAAAAAGTTCCTAACTGTCAGGGTAGTCAAACACTGGAATAAATTGCCCAGGGAGGTTGTGGAATCTCCATCTCTGGAGATATTTAAGAGTAGGTTAGATAAATGGCTATCAGGGATGGTCTAGACAGTATTTGGTCCTGCCATGGGGGCAGGGGAATGGACTCGATGACCTCTCGAGGTCCCTTCCAGTCCTAGTATTCTATGATTCCATGATTCATTTTTGGTGCTGTGCTCAGCCGTTGTTGGGATGAGCACTGTCCCTACAATGGGGGAGATTCCAGAGGATTGACCAAGCAGAGCATTCTGTTTTTTAATAGGTAGCAGGTTTAAAACGAACAAAAGGAAGCACTTCTTCACATAACACACGGCCAACTTGTGGAACTCCTTGCCAGAGGATGTTGCGAAGGCCAGCACTTGAAGCACCTGGCCTTGGCCGCTGTTGGAAGACAGGATACTGGGATAGATGGAACTTTGGTCTGACCCAGTGTGGCCGATGTTATATTCTAATGCAGTGGTTCCCAAACTTTTTGACATCACGCCCCCTTTTTGAAATTTGAGAAACCCTCACACCCCCCCCTCCCAAAAAAATAGCAAAACTTGGGGTGGGACTGATGGGAGTGTGTGTGGCTGGGTCACCTTGGGCCCCCCCTGCAATTTCTTCATGACCCCCAGTTTGGGAACCCATGCTCTCATGGCAAAGACAGCAGGTGTGTCCAGTTACAATGGGTCACATTTTTATTTGCATTTCTTCCATTCCTTTCTCCATCCTGTCCCTAGACTTTAAAGAGAAAGGAGAAGGAGTATGAACATGAGATGGAGCGGCTGGCACGGGAGAAGATTGCTACCCAGCAGCGACTGGCTGAATTGAAGAACGAGTTGAGTCAGTGGATGGACATCCTGGAAATTGACAGAATTATTCGGCAGACAGTTCAGCCAGAGGATGACCAGGCATCTACCTCGACTGCATCAGGTACCGTTAGCTTCTTGGTCATCAACGTGGCATTGCCTGGTGCTAGTGGTAACATGGAAAACAAACTGAGCGTCCTCTTGGTTTCACCCCAGACCTCTGAACGTGGCACTAAGCAACGGCATCTCCTCCTTGCGGGGTCAGTAAGACTTTTGACTTACCCTGCCCATGTTCTGCTTTTGTAACAGAAATTGGAAGCGGACGAGGGTCTGCCGGTGAAAAGCTCCGTTTTAGCCGGCATAGTGTAACACGATCAGCAGACTTGCTTTCACAGCTAAGTAGCTGCATCGCCATTGCCTTTGTAAGACCCACTTAGATCTAAGACCCACTAGATCTAAGACCCACAGCTCCAACCTGTGAGCAGTGTTTTCCAGGTGATGCAGCACGAGCCAAATATGGCTGTGCCATCGGCTTCTTTAGGGTGTGGAACCGGAGGCTCAGGGAACCTGCGCTGGTGATCCCGCCCCACCACTGGACTGGAGCACACAAAATTTACTAGCCTGGGCCCTTCTAGGCCTGGTGTGCGAAGGGAATGTGGGGAGTGTCTTTCCCCGGCTCGGTCATGGGCCACGTCAGTGAGGGTTTGGCGTTTTTGTTTTGTTTTGTTTTGTTTTGTTTTGTTTTGTTTTGTAATGACTCCCCATTGCTTCCTGGGGCTATAAGTTGAGGTAGCACGTCCACATTAAGGGGGCTTGCCTCGGACTGGTTTCGAGGCATCCCTGCAGTGTGGACGCGCTATTTCAAAATAGTTATTTTGGGAGTTGTTTTTTCAAAATAATTTCCTAGTGTAGACATCCCCTCAGATGCCACAGGACTACCCATTGTTTTTAAAGTTACAGACTAACCCGGCTACCCCTCTGAGACAGAGTCGTATGTGTTGCAAACCCACTTTTCATTGTGCTAAATGCACTAAGTATTTCAGGCCTCTCTTGGAGGAATCTGGAGATGAAATTAAATAGGACTTTTTTCATGCCCATTAACAGGTAAGTAGTTTCCAGAAGTTGAGCCATCATGATATATCCAATCCTGAAATCAGGCTTAAAGCACACAGAATTGGAATCAGATGACCTGAGTTCTAGTCCTGTGGGCACATCATTTACAAGGGCACCATTTCAGGAGAGCAGTGGGCAGCAGCCGTGTGTACCGGGATGTAGCTGGATTTTCTTCCTGTTCCTCTATCAAGGAGCGAGGGGAAAGTACTTGGATACCGTGAATTACTCCTCCGTCCCCTGTCTTCCCCAGCCAGGAGTGAGGGGCATGCACGGAATCCAAGTACTTTCCCCTCACTCCCTTATCGTCAGAGGAACAGGAAGAAAAGCAATCCGTGTCCCAGGACGCACGTCTGCTGCCCCCCTGCTCTCCCAAAACAACGCCCTTGAGCATTTGGGCCCAGATTTGTGTCCGGGTGCCCAGCTTCACAGCCTAATGCTTGATTGTTCAGAGTGCAGCGCCCTGGGATCTCTTGTGGACTTCCTCTGGAGCGGTGGGTGCGTGGCACTTCTGGAAATCAGGCGCAAAGTTGCTTGGGGTCGGCACCCAAAACGAGAGATCACTTTTGTAAAAGTTGTTCTTAGCCTCTCACATGGGGGTGGCTCATTCTTGTCCATCTTCATAAAGCCCAGGGAGGATCTTGCATGGGAATTCTATGTATGGACAAGGAGGTATTGTTTAAAATTGCTGTTTAACCATTAAAATCTGCATGCTTGGTCACCCCACCTTGTAAAACTCAGTTCCCCACCTTCAACACCCAGTTTTAACCTAATACCGGGCACATTCCTGGTGGTTGAAGCTGAGCAAGTATAAAGCCACAGGTGTATTTTCATAGATTCATAGATTTTAAAGTCAGAAGGGACCATTATGATCATCTAGTCTGACCCCCTGCACAGTGCAGGCCACAGAATCTCACCCACCCCTCCTAGAATAATCCTCTCACCTATATCTCAGATATTGAAGCCTTCAAATACTTTGAAGACCCCAAGATGCAGAGAATCCTCCAGCTGTGATCAGTGCCCCATGCTACAGAGGAAGGCGAAAAACCTCCAGGGCCTCTGCCAATCTACCCTGGAGGAAAATTCCTTCCCGACCCCAAATATGGCGATCAGCTAAACCCCAAGCATGTGGGCAAGACTCAGCCGCCAGACACCCAGAAAGTTCTCTAGAGTAACTTCTATCATCCCTCCATTGACCTATTTCCCGGTTCAGTATTTGCACTGGGGTCTGAGGGTTTTTCTGCCCAGTAGAGAGGAGACTTTCGAAGGGAGCTGAATGGAGGAAGAAGCCGTCAGTCCGTTGGAACGGTTTTAGCATTGGCCTGCTAAACCCAGGGTTGTGAGTTCAATCCTTGCGGAGGCCATTTAGGGATTTGGAGCAAAAATTCATTAGGGATGGTATTTGGTCCTGCTGTGAAGGCAGGGGACTGGACTCGATGACCTTGCAAGGTCCCTTCCAGTTCTAGGAGATAGGCAATCTCCATTATAATAAAAAAAAAAACCCGGTTTGAGAAAGAAAAGGAAATGGTTGTTAATGGAAGCAAAACCCTTCCACACGCACCTGCCCCGTCACGCGTTTGTCAGTACGATAGAACGGGCCCTGCCTTTGGCTCTTGTGATCTGCCCTGTGAAGAATAGACAGTTTGAGGATGTGCTTTGGCCGAGGTTAGCCCTCTGTAGCCATTTGTATCAATTCCTTCAAACAGAGATGGCATCTGCTTGTGAAACTACAGGCAGTCAGTACGGCAGCCTCCGGAAAGGGAAAATCTGAGTTTACCAATTCTGTCCAGGTTCTTCTACTGTGCCTGTCACCAACAGGGCTGACAGCCACTGAAAGGGGCGGGGCCTTGAGTGGAAGGGGCGGGGCTGAGGGCCGTCAATCCTTAGCGCCACCTGGAGCACAGTGTAAGGCCTCCCCCCCAGTCCTCAGAGCTGCATAGAGTGGCTGGGAGCCCCTTGGAAATGCCAGTTGCCCCTTTTGCCTCTCCTTCCCCATCGCCATGGCATCTGAGCATCAACAGACTGAATGTAGGCGGCTGGAAATGAGGAACGATGCCAGCCTGCCATCTCTTGAGCTGTCCTCTGCAGGGAGGGATCTCTGAGAGGGCTGGGAAGAGGGAAAGGCCTTCTCCATTCCTCCCAAGACGCGGTGTCTTTCAAGATGCGCAGTTGCCATTGCATTGCTGCCTTTAGAATGAGCAACGCAGAGTAGAACACTCAAGATCCCAGCGTTCCCTGGCTGGCCCAATCTCCCCTTTCCGTAGCCAGAGGGCAAGGAAACGAACGGCCATATTTCCCCATCTCCCTTTCTTTCCTGATGTGAGAGCAGAAAGAGAGGGGCAAGTTGACTAAACCCCTTGGCAGAAATAAAGAAAGAGTCCCAGTTAGCTAGGTCTCTCTACAGCATGACCACCTGCGGCCTGAGAGCCACACGTGGCCCCTCAGGGTTCTGTGCGTGGCCGGCGAGACATTTTGTTTCCCGTTGCCCATGTGCAGGGTTGCCCGATTCTGCTGGTTTCCAACCACCTGGGTTTTTTCTACCGGGAGTATTGACCTGGCCCGCACGTAAAGCAAGGGTCCTGAAATGAGGAGGGTGCTGAGTGCGCTCAGCATTGACCGTCAGAGCCGGGCGTGCTCTCTGCCTCCAATCACAGCGTTGCTACGGTTCAGTCGGCACTTCCCGCGTGTTCTAGGTGCGCAAGCGCAGTGAGCTAAACTACTTGGCTGGTCTTGGTTGCAATAGTCTTGCAGCCCCGTGAGATGAAGGAGGGCCGCTCATATGGCCCACTCACTAGCCTTCATTGCTGCTCTACGACAAGAAAACGCCCCAGGCTAGGCCTTTGCCTTGTTCTATAACCCTTGGATGTGCAGACTTCCACTAGTTTCCCATGCAGCCATTCTTTATCACCATTCCTGAGCACCTGGGAAGCTCAGAAAGCATTCGCCAGAATACTGTGTCTGCCCCCATCACAGGAGGCAACTCTCACTGTCTGATTTCTTTCCCCCAGCCTGGCGTCATCAGGGCACCGCTCTCAATTGGGGTGTCCCGCTTTGGGAAGCTGGCTTTGCCCCACTGTGAAAATCCCTGTCTTGGCAATCCTAGTGGGAGTGCGGAAAAGTTAGTGGCGAGGGTTGGTCAAGTCGATGACATTGAATCTGAATAGGTAGCAGAACTTGAATGGGTAGCAGGTTTAAAACAAACAAAAGGCAGTATTTCCTCACACAACGCCTCATCAACCTGTGGAGCTCCTTGCCAGAGGATATTGTGAAGGCCAGGACTGTAGCAGGGTTCAGAAAAGAGCTAGATAAATTCATGAAGGATAGGTCCATCAATAGCTACGAGCCGGGATGGGCAGGAATGGTGTCAGACCCTGGGAATGGGTGACAGGGGATGGAGCACTTGATTCCGTGTTCTGTTCATTCCCTCTGGGGCACCTGGCATTGGCCACTGTTGGCAGACAGGATACTGAGCTAGATGGATGCTGTATGGCCGTTCCTGGGGTCATGCTACCCTCATGCTTTAGAGTGATAACTCTGTCCTGCCGGTAGGATCTGTTCCTCGCTTCATGCCCCAGAGAGGCTGGTGAGTCAGGGTCATCCTCTGCACTCTGTTTACCCCAGTTTCTTTCCTGTCGTTTCTTCCAGAGGGCGAAGACAACATTGACGAAGACATGGAAGACGACCGGCCCGTGAACTCGTTACCAAAACTAACCCAGCGCCAGCACCCCGAGTTATTGAAAGCTGTCCCTCCGAATGCTGCTTCCCCCCACCCGGCGGCCTTGCCTCCGCACCTGTCTGTCCATCAGAAACAAGCCCCTCCCCACGCGCAGCCTCCCCTCCAGACCCAGGCGCTCGTCCAGCCGCAGGCGATCGTCCCCGCACAGACTCACCTCGTGGCGGCTTCGACGGTGCAATCGACTGTTATTGCCCACACCGCCACCACCCACGCGTCGGTCATCCAGACTGTCAACCACGTGATTCAGGGTCCGCCGGCCAAACACATCGCTCACATCGCACCTTCCACGTCCAGCCCTGTTCAGCTCACCACTGCTGCTCCGCCTCTCGGCCACATCACTGTGCACCCGGCAACCATCAATCACATGACCCACCTCGGCCAGCCCATTTATCCTCAGCCTGTGGCCGTCAGCCAGCCGGTGGTGAGCCACATTGCTCACACGATTTCTCACCAGCAAGTGAACGGAACCACAAACCTAGGCCAGCAAGCGGTGATGGCCAAACCGGCTGTAGGAACCCCCGTTGTTCACCATCAACAGTTAGTTGGGCAAACAGTGCTAAACCCGGTAACTATGGTCACCATGCCCTCATTCCCTGTAAGCACGCTCAAGCTGGCCTAGGACAGGAAGCCCGCTGGCAAAAGTCTTTGGCTGGCCACCTTTCCTGAAACTCCATACATTCCAACCACGTTCGATTCCAAGGGAGAGTAGTGCAGGAACTCTGTGAACAGGGAAGAATGACACATTTAAGGTTGGGACTGTCACGTCCATCATGTTTTAACAACCAACCTGTCCGTGGTAATGAGAAACGGGGTTTCTCTGCACTTGAATTTCGCTAAACAGAGAAAACTTTTAATGACGGTTGTTCATAGTGATTTTTTTTTCCTTTTACGTGTAATCAGTGACCTATGGATATGGTGTTCTTAAGACTTTAATTTCCCCCTTTCATGTGTTGCTTCTTTATAGAATAAAAAAAGGCTGATCTCTCTATTGAGACATTGCGTAGAATGGGAAAAAAAATCATAGACGTCTATATTTTTATATATATATGTATCTGCCCAAAGCTACATATATATAAATAAATATAACTGTGCAGAAGGCCCTTGGCAAGGTTGTTTGCAGGAGTATTAGTCAAATGTTAATTTTCGGAGGAAGAAAGCAGAGTTTCCTCAGATGGTTTAGTGGACCAGGGTACAAATATTTCATGACAAATAAAAAAAAAAATGTTAAAGGTATTTCCCTTCCGTATATTACATTTCAGTAAACCATCTAAAATCACTGTGACTTGTTATGGCATTTAAAGGAAATTCTCTGTCCTGTTTAATAAAAGGAAAAAGAATGCACAACCGGACTTCATTTGTTGGGATTTCATAAATGACTCACTTTTTACAGCTTTGTCAACAGAAGATTTCATATTTGTTATTTTCATGGCTTACAAATATGTTTTGTTTGGGGTTGTTTCGGGGTTTGTTTTTGTTTGTTTTTGCTAACGCAATAATTGATTTCACAGAACTCTCTGTGCACAGCTCTTATCTATTTCAAGATTCCTCACACAAGTCCCATTCCCTAAAAGGACTTTGACAGAGGCAGTTATTTTGAACTAGTGGCTTTGAAACATATTTCACCCATCAGGTGGAATGGAATCTGGGACAGGAATGCTGCCAAAAATTAGGTTGATTTCTGCGGGGGGGGAGGATTTTCCTGAATGTGACCACGTTTTAGTGCTGGATAGTGTACGGATTAGACAGTTGATCAATATGCACAAGAAATGCTCTGAAGAGCTGCTGAGAGCTTTTAAAAAAATGAAATGGAATTTAGTTTGTGTATAGGATAACAGTAAATCCATTCTAGAACCAGTAAACCGTTCTCGAACCAGTTTATTCCAGTAAATCAGTTCTAGAACCTGACAGTGTGTCTTACAAAATGCAGCGAGCAACCCCTTCTCATCTGAAGTGACTACTTTAAAGTGTCCCAAGGTTTCTGATATAGTTTTGTTCCATCTTTTGTGGTGGTGGAACTAGATCCCCATTGAAGTCAATGGCAAAATTCCCATTAACTTCAATGAGCGATGGATTTATTTTTTTACAAATACTTGCCATTCTTTGTGCTGGTTGCTTAAGATATGTTTTATTATCTGTTGTTTGAATCTTCTGTTTCTTGTCCCACTTTCCATGCCGTACTAATGCTAACATTCTCCTTTTTCCTCTTTCTTTTTCAATCTGTAATCCCGATGCAGGCAAAACTCCCACTGCAGTGAGGGGCGGTTTTGCGTGTGTCGAGTCAAGTGGATGTTGGTTCCTATCTGAGCTTCTGTCCTTTCTATCCTGTTACTGTCTGGAAATGGCTGGTCGCGGGAGTAAAGGAGCAATTAACTCGACCCCCTTTGGAAGCGACATCAACCCCGATTGGGATGTAAGGAGTTCATTGACTAGTGATTGGACACTTCGCCACCCTAGCCGTTGAGTGTGCAAATCTCTTTTCTAAGTTGAGATCCCTTGGAAATGGATCCTTTGGACTGTATTTGTCCAATACTCACATTCACATCAGTGGGCATGTCACCTGAGTAAGGACTGCAGGATTTGACTCTGGAATCATCAGTGTCAGATAGTTACTACTGAGTTAACCTTAAAAAACAACAAATAGTCTGGTAGCACTTTAAAGACTAACAAGAATTGTTTAAGTTTAATCTGAAAATCTACCCCCAGATAGATCCTGCCCCACCCGACAGTTGGAACCATTCAAAGCGGCGATCTAATACTGTTTCCCTTGCCGCGTAGACAGGGATATTGCTCCTAAGAATTGGAAGAGATCCATGTTTGTGAGAACTTGCATGAAATGAGAAGTTGTCAGGGGAAATCATCCCTGTTTACGCTAGTCTGGGAAATTGTATGAGCCCTTTGCCTGCCTTGCTAGCACCCTCAGTTACAGAGCAGTCAGCTCTTAAAGCAAATGAGGCCCTATTCCCAAACCACCTGCCTATACATTTATTCCTAGTCATTCCCAACGTACTGTTAAGATTGTGGAGATAACAGAATCGCTCCAGGGTTACTTGCTCCTTTATGCAGTTAGGGGCTTTCTCAGGAAGGCACTATTTCTTGTGTGAGTTGGAGCCTTTGATGGACCTCGGTGGAGATCAGAGTTAGCCTGGAGGACGGTGACTCTTCATCAGAGAGTCTTGGGGTGTGTGGGGCAGGGTTGCCCACCCGTTTAGGGATAACTGTGTGGCTTTGTCTCCTGTAGCCATGGAGGAGGAAAGGGGGACTAAGAGCTCCCACCTGTCCTTGGCACAGGTCAAACTGATGGACCCTGAAAGGACAGTAACAGCGAAACAGGAAGTCCCGATTCTTGCTGTCGAAGGCTACATTTCTCAAAAGACTGGGGGCTCCAATCCAGGGGCTAGAATTCATGTGCCCATGGTTACTGGGATTACAACTATAAATTGCCAGCTCAGATAAATGTGGCTAGCGAGTCCTTGAAGCAAGGTTGAGGGCATCCAGGACTGGACCCACAATTATCAATCTTTGCAGGAAATTACAGTCATTGCAGAGGTGACTTTGGGAGCTGTTGCAGGCATATTTTTGCATGTGGATCTGTTCTCTCGGTGTTGGAAAACATGGTCCCTGAGAGACTTTTGTAACACATCCTGGATATTGAGCGGGGAAAGAGACACACAGTTACTCCTAAAAACACAGACTAGTGAAAAGTGTTGGAGGTGCAAAGGCAGCACTGCTTTCATTTTACACCGGGGAGCAGGTTTGCTTGTGGGTTTGTCAACGGCTTTTGTTGCGTCGGCGTGTCCTCTTGCCAGCCTTCGACTCTTTGACTCCTGTCAGTAGATTAAAATGTAACGGTGACGGGAGGACTGAGGACGGGGCAACACTGCCGTTTCAATTCCTGTAATTTGCTTCTGCCTGACGTCCCCTCCAGTGATGCTAACAAGCCCCACGACAAACAGGGCTCCGCCCCTGTGGGGGAGCTGAGGCAGTCAGCAATACTAGGGCTTGGTCTTCACTAGCACTTTTGTTGGCAAAACTTCTGTGTGGAAACAACACACCTCGACTGACCTGAGTTTCACTGACAAAACCACTGGGTGCTGACAGCCTCTGGAGGCCCCTGGACAAGGTGATGAGGGAGGCAGCTCTGTGCTCCTGGAAGGGGCGGGGCTTTGGGCAAAAGGGGTGGGGCTGGGTGGAGGTGCCCATCCCCTCCCCCTGCCCTCAGAGCTGCTCCGGCAGTGATTTAAAGGACTTGGGGCTCTAGACGTTGCCACAGTAGTGGCAGAGTCTGGAAGCCCCAGGCCCTTTTGACTTGCCGGGGGCCTGGGGCAATTGCCCCCCTCCATCGACAGGCCTGGGTGTGGAAAATGCTTCTCAGTGTGGGGGTTAATGACATCAACGGGCGCGCTCTCCTGCCGGGTGGCTACCGCGAGAAACCAGAAAGTCTGTAGTGTAGCCATAGCCTAGACATCTTGGACCAACCCCTTCCTCATTCCCAGTCTCCACGGTAACCCAAAAGACTGTTGTTTGTTTGCAAGTCTCAGGGGGGTAGCTGGGTGAGCCTGTAACGTTACAAACAACGAGTTGTCCTGGGGCACCTGCTGTCTGGCCTAGCGAGGAAGCCCCGTCCCGTCTCGTCATCTCTGCCATTCCCGTTGAAACCCTTCCCCCCGGACTCTAATGCTTCTTAGAAATCCTGTTCAGTACTGTATCACAAGGGGCACTTTAGCAATGTCTCTCCTCCTCTGAGATGTGTGTTTTCCCTATGGAGAAAGCTATATATAAATAAATACATATATATCTATATATCTATATATCTGTACACGTTGGGCTTCGGAAGATCGGTATGTCCCAAAATAAATAAATAAATATGAAGTTTACAAGAAATCTCTTCTGTTGTCGCATAATATTAGTGACTGCTAATCCGACCGCAGGGAAAGCAGTCAAAATGGGATTCCTGGACAGGCGGCTGCTGTCATTGAGGCCAGCGGTTTTCAACCTTTTTTTCTCATGACCCAGGGAAAGAAAATTGTTGATGCCGTGACCCAACATAATCTGATTAGCGTGTGGGCCCTGGGGTAGGGCTGAGGATGAGAGCTTTGGAGTGTAGGAGGGGGCTCTGGCTTTTTTTGGGGGTGGAGAGAAAAGCCAGGCAAAGGCTGGAAGTGGAGCCGGGCTGCAGTGGGCGGGGCTAAGGCAGCTTCCTGCCTCTCCTGGCACCGCAGACCATGCTGCTCCCAGAAGCAGCCGGCATCAGGTTCCCAGCCCCTGGGAGTGCCGAGCTAGTGCTCAGGGCAGGGGCAGTCCATGGAGCCCAGTGTGCTCCCCCCCCATCTAGGAGCAGGGTCTGCTGGCGGCCACTTTGGGGGCATTTCAGTCTGCAGTCCAGGACAGTTAGGAAGCTGCCTTAGCACCCACCTGGTCACCTGATCCCCCTGCAGCAATGAGTCCCAGAGCCGACATTCCACCACCCTGTCCTGGGTCGCGACCCGTCCTTTGAAAATTGCTGCATTCGGCTGATTTAATGCCCATGGAAGTTAGTGGATAGGTTTCCACTGACTTCAGCGGCCTCTGGATCAAATCCTTGAGCTGCAGTGGGTCCTAGCGCTGCAGCCTTTAGACAAGTCCTGGTGTACGTGTAACACGAGGATGCCCTCCAAGATAGGGTACCGAGAGGGAGCAATTGGTGGGTCAGGCAGTTTCTGTCTCCTTTCAATCTAATTTCTAAAATGAACCTGCTGTAGAGGCCACATCTAAATGCTGCTTAGTAGGCACAAAAACCAACTAGCTTTTAAAAAAATCAAGTACTCCAAAACACTCTCTCTTGCAACTGGCACATGAAATATGGAGCACAGCCCTGACCTCGCAGAGCTGTAAATCCAGAATGCAACTCACAAGATTAGAATCTGGCCCCATTTTCCAGCCTCGTGCATCTTGTGTAATCCCTTATGCGTGTGCTAAGTGGGTGTCAAGGGTTCCTATTCTGGCTTGGGAGCAGTCCGCGCCCACTCTGCACTCCCATTGCGCAGGGCTGACTGACGACACACTGCGCGGTGTGTTAGACAGTCAGGCCTGACGCACTGTGGCTCGTCAAAGCCAGTACAGGGGACTCTGTTCTTAAAGGTGGTGTTCTTGGCCCAGCTAGTGTTTCATAAGCTCTGATTTCTCCCTTTCAAACTGCAGATTGCCGAGGTGTTTCAAACCAGATCTGAGCAGTATCTGTAGTTTTAATAATAATAATAATAATAATGATGATCCCTTTTACCCCAGAGAGTGGCTGGAATTTTTAGAAGGCTAAGTCTCTTAGCAGCAGAAGTCCCAAAGACTTTCAGTTGGACTTCTGCTCTGAA